GTGGGACATGGGTTGCTGACATGTTTCACCGTATCAACACTTGGTTTGGATGGTGTTGAGGCCAACATTTGGTTTGGATGTGTTGGTTACATCATGGATTATACAGTGGTGTGACTTTGTTTTGGATATGGAATATGTATACATATGGTATGGATTGTATACATTGGTTATGGATTATTTTATTATCATAAAATATGTATACATTGGCATGGACGTGTATACATTATATTTTGGGTTGGTCTATATTTAGCTTGAAAATGACTTGTTGGTCTGGATAAATACTGTGGATAAATATTTGTTTAATGATATTTTATTATGATGTACTATGATTGGTTTTATATGTGCTAACCCTTATATTTCCATGATGTGGACTGTGATGATCTCACTATGTGGGGGAGCAGATCAGGTATGAGGCTTTGGGATAACAAGGAGTCTTTTGGATAGTTGCTTTGAGAAGTGGCTAGGTTTAGAGCTTGACCAGCACCTAGGGTGTCTTATTTTGATGTTTTCATGGCATTGTAATTATATTATCTTTTTGGATTACTGTATAACTTTACTAAGGATGATGACTCTGCTATAGAAGATTATATATATATTTTGGAAACAATTTATGTTATTGTATAATTACACTCTAGCGTAGCTGGCTTTTGCTCTATTTTCTTTATTTTATATTATTTTATTTTGGTTGGTTATTGATGTGACGGCCTAGGGTGGGTCGTTACACCCATAGCGACACAGTGTCGCTATAGGCCATAGCGCCACTTTCACAAATTATTTTTTTAAAAATTATTTACTTATAGTAAAATTATTTTTTTTATATTAAATATTTGACGCTGTAGGCTATAGCAACTTGAGTGGAGCTGTTTTGTGTCGCTATAGGCTGTAGCGACATTATCAATATGGCTTTCATGGCTTCGCTGGAGTTACAAAATTGCCACGTGTCATAGGTGTCGCTATGAGCCATAGCGACACCGTAGAAAACAACCCCAAAGATGTAATATGTTTCAAAACAACCCTATTTTGATAAATAGTTTGTAAAAGTGCTCTAAAATGGTGGTTTAGCCAAGTATTTTGCATGTATCAGAAGTACAAAAGTTGCAGAACAAAAATCATGCACATAAAGGAGGACAATGACTTACAAAAATTTGACTAGAATGATGCATTTTAATTAGAAAATGAAAATTATGAGATACTGAAAATTATAACTTCCAAATCTCTTTTTCCAAATATGTACAAGTGCCACGTGGAAGATTCTTCGGCATTTGTTTCTACAAATTTAGAATTTTTCCATGAATCACTTGTAAGTCATGACGAGATTATGTGAGCATGAATATACAAAAGGACCTTAAAAAGAAACGGATACGCTACAACATATATATATATATAATAAGAACTGACATTAAAATATTTCCTGAAATAAAAACTCTAAAACTAAGTTTCTCCCCCATCCATTTTAGGGTTAATAACTATCAATTGTTTATATGAATTATTTTTTATGGTATTTATATTAGATAGGTCCCGAAATCCCATATTGGATACATATTAGTTCTTAGTGTTACATTGAAGATATATTTATAATTACATGACAATAATTTGATAATATTTGATAGATCGAACATAGTATTTTCATAAGTTGAGGAGTTTTCAACCAATCAAACACATTCCCTTACAATTAAGCCTTGCAAAAGTAACATCCAATAAAAGGTTTTAAATGTACTAAAAAAACTGAATATTTAAGGATAACATTTTCTCAACTATATATAAATGTCTTTTATCTTCAGAGGGTACATTGACAAAAAAGAACATACTTGAAGTATTAGAATTTTTTTTATAGGTACAATCACCACTCATAATCTTGAAGGTCGATGATCAACGACTTTGGATTAAAAATTTTGGATAAATATTTCTCAACAAATATAATATTAGTTATAGTTCCTACTAAACCAATATCTCAACAATTTTTTCTCCTTCACAAAGTTCAAATTATTCAATTATATTTATATTGATTCTTGGCATTTATTATTTTATACCTTTTTCCATAAAATTATGCCTACTTATCTCATCACTTCTTGCTTTACTGTGATGAAATTGCAATGAATCTAGAAAATAAACAGGGATAGATGAAGGAAAAAAAGAGAAGATAACATGCTTAACTCAAATGCTACTGTGATCCATTCTAACTCCTGTGTCAATCTGACTCACAGAACCTCAATATATACTATGAAACAAACCTTGCAAAATAACTTAGCCACACAATATATAGAGACAGTTCAATTCTTTATACAGTGCTGAAAAGAGCTACATGCATTTCTTTTTGCAAAATCGAAATCATATATGTCAATAATCTTTGCTTGATAATGATAGCATGAATTAATTGGTGAAGCGGTGATGCCTTAGTAAATAGAGAAGCTAGCAGATGGTGGCTTTTTACATGGACAAGCTTGATCAAATTAGCATCATCTAGTTCTCCAATGAAGTCATGGATTGGTCGCTGTCATTATATTTGGAGCGTTCACGATGGATGAGCAAGATTTGAAGACAAGTGACTTGCATATTGCACGGTTGTCACAAAAAGTCAGTGTAGAATTAGAGTTGCCTTGAACTTCCAAGTATTCGACAACTTCGCAAAAGAAAGACGAAAACTAGTCGCAGAGTGTCTAGTATCAAAATTTGTGCATCATTCTTATAATAATTTTTAATTATTTAATACACTTATTTTCATTCAATATTTAAATAAAAATTAAAGGACTATTAAAAATTTCATTATTAGTTTATTACTTATTTCTTCACATGAATGAGTCAGGGGAGAATTAGAATTCACAGTGATCAATTCATTTTTGAGTGAGGGTTACAATATCGAAAGTTCATTCATCGATGGAAAAGTAATGATAATTAATAAATCTTACATACATAACAAATCATGCGTATATTCGAATATTAATAATTAAAAAGGTAATATATGTTTTTAGTCCATGTAAAATATTTTAAATTTATTTTTATTTTTAAAAAATTTTGTGTACTAAATCAATCTAAATTTTAATGTATTGACATCCATCTCCAAAGTTAATTCCGTTATTATAATAAGTGATGTAACAGACGGAAGTCTCACGTAGGTAATAATATATTTTTTTAATTAGTTATTAAGGAATTTAGGGGGTGATGCGATTTTATTTTCAGTTATTTTCAGGAGAACAAGTGGTTGCTTAGGGTGATGTGATTTCATTTATGCATTTGTTGATTGAAGAGTTTTGGAGGTTAATTCTTCATCCTCAAGTTTCAATTGATTGTTTATGACAATATTCGAATTTTAGCCGTGACTTTTATGAGAAGACAAGAGGCATATTGCTTAACCACACAATTATTCCGTGTTTCAGTTATGTAGTCATAGTTGATCTAGGAAGTGGGGTGTTCGTAACTGATCCAAAGAAGGGAAA